CCATCGTTTATTGAAACTTATTGATTTGTTGATCAGCCCGCGCGCGAGAATGGCATCATTTGCAATGGGCTGGCGGCGGGTGAGAGAGGGGGGTGGGTATTTGCTGGGCTGGAATGGTCCGAGTACATATTTCGAGTAGACGATAGTGCAGGCTCGCATGTAAATCGCAGTATCCCTGGGAGGGGGGACAAGACAGGGGTGCATGGGTGGTAGATCTTAATTTCCTGTAAGATAGGAGAGTCTAGGCGGTGCAGCTCACACGGCCGATCTTTATGTAGCCACTTCCCTGCTCGCGCAAGCATTCCACCCATCAGCCCGCAACCTTGCTTGCAAAGCCCATGCGGCTGCGATTGCCATGGCTGCTGGCTGGCGGATCTCTGCGGCCGCGCGAGCGCGCGCAGGCTCGCGCGCAGAGCGGACAGCTAGCGTAGGCGCGACCGACGAGGCCGCTGGGGCGCTTATCGCCGAGGACTCGTCGGTCGGCGCTGATCGGCACAGCGCGTCTCGCAGGCTGCGCTGACGCGCGGGCATTTCAGTGAGAGTCGGTGATTCGGGCGGAGTCGGTAGCGCGGCGACGTCATCAACGGCAGGAACGATGATGATAGTAGCCGTGCTGGTGACGATTTTGACCATGACGACGGCAAGGCCAATGACGGCACCGATGCTGATCACGCCAGTGGCGACGATGGTGTCCACGTGTCGATGGTGGGGGTTTTATAATGATTTCGACATGCGCGCGCGGCCGACGGGCGCGAGTGGCCCCAATTGCAATTATTTGACAGGGATCGCGCCCCCCCGGCACGCGCCCAAGGGCGTTCGGATGATTTCGACATGCGCGCGCGAGAGGCCCGCGTGGGCGCATTTGGTGAAAATGTTGAAAGTCATAGTTTCCTTCAGAAGTCGCAAGAGCGCGCGTTTTTTTTTTTTTTTGGGGGGGGGGGGGGAAATTCCTGTAGCAAGCCCACGTGTTGTTCCACATGCGTTTGGGAACCTCGAGTTCGACATCTATGCGAAACCTGCGGTTTCTGACGGATTTCGGCATTTGAGCCCGACGGCGCGTGCGCGCGCACTCTGTTCCCTTCGATTGCGCTGAATTTTTGCACGATGGTGATCTTTGATGAACGGGTGCGCGCGCATATTTTTACTTGACGACGATGTGTGTTGGGAGTGGATCTCTGCTTGGCTGGTATGACTTATGCGTCAGACACTCGACGATGTGCAGAAGGCACGGTGGCGGACTCAAGAAATCCGCGCGGACCGTCGAGAGTTGATGTTTATGCATTTTCTTGCTCCTCTAGGAATGCCGACGCGTCCATGTCGGGGGGCAACCGGTCCGACGCTTACTGCGCATGCAGCTACGACGACAAAAGGATCTTCAGGACCCACACCATGGACGATAACCTGAACCCCTCGTGGGAGTTCTCCAGGGCCTTCCAATTCGATGAGCTCCGGGCAGGATCAACCCTGCACTTCGAGGTATTCGACGAGGACCCCAGCCCAGGGAACGCCGACGACAGCCTCGGCTCGGCCACGCTACGGCTCCGGGACGAGCACTTCGAGGGGGCGATTGTCAGGGAGACGCTGAGGATTGGCGACTACAAGGGAAGCCCAAGCCTGCTGGAGGTCAAGCTCTCCACCCGGCTCATGAGCGGCAGAGAGACCCACAGGTGTCGTGGGGGGGGCCAGGGCCCGCGAAGAATCGTCCCAGAGCGTTCCAGGGTGCTCTCGGAGCTGGAGCGTTCTTTGAGCGGCCGCAGCGCCCGACGCGTCCTCTCCAGAGCCGCCAGAGCTCAGAGGTCCCCGATCGACTTACATCCCGATCCGATGTTCCCCCGAGCCTGGCTTCGTCCTGAGGTGGCTCCTGGACGGCGCCCCGCTGCGAACCGCGGTGGGGCTCTACGGCCAGGCGCTGGCGCGGCTGCGGGAAGACCACGGCGCGGAGGCCGACCCGCAGCTGATGGAGGACACCACGCTGGCCGCCGCGCTCCAGCAGAGGAACAAACCGCCGCAAGAGCATAGTTTCGGCCTCACCCCAACCGACTAGTGCCACGTGTGCGTCGGCGCCCCCCCCCCCCCCCCCCGGGGCGACGCGCGCCCCGAGAAGAAGTCTTGTAGTAGAAGCTCCCCGGCGGGCGTTGTCTGGCCGTACCGCTCGCGAAACGATATAGTACAGGATGGTTGTACTGTACGTCAGGGTCGGCTGCACGCCTCCGAGGAGGACTCACAGCACTGGTATGTCCTCGTGCGTCCCGCAATGCGGCCACGCGCAGCGGGGCGTGTGTGAGGGGGGCAGGCTTCTGCGAAGCACCACTGCTTCTTCGAGGGCGCGGGCCTCATCCATAGATGTGAGGCCAGCACCCTCTGAAAACCAGCCTTCTTCGAGCCTTCCCCACTCCCCCAACCCCAGTGTGCGCGCCGCCTATTCTCGGTGGCAAAATACGGGAGCCTTGCATACACTCATCATTCCGATTTCAGAGTACACTAGCGTCGGGTAGTCGATGGGATAGCCCCGAGTTAGCGTCGATTAGCGTCGATCTAGCGCCGGTTATCGCCGACTAGCGTCGATTTGCGTCGATTCGCAAGAGCTAACTTGGACAGTATGGGAGGCCCCCATGAGTTGCCGCACAATGAACTTTCGGAGATCCGCGCGGATTTCGCACAGGGCGTGCTCGACTGGCTTCCGTCCCCAGAGCCATCAGATCGATCCGATTCGAGTAATGCCGCGGCACAGTGGTGTACAGGGCTCTGGTGGTGATGTTGCACGAGGATGTATTTTTCGCAGAGTTGGATCTCAGGGAAAGCCCGCGGGGATCATCGAGGCGCGCGGAGCGCGCGATAGGGGCGGTGCTGGAGGCGCAGCCGGGGGGGGCCCAGCGCCGATGCAGAGGAAATCCGCGCGGTGCTCCAAGAGCTTATGCCCTTGTGCCGCTGTTTGGCCCCTCTGTCCCAGAGCGGGCGCTCGCCTGCGCTCCTGGGCAGGCGCGGCGACGAGCGAGGGGTGGAACTGAGAAGGAGGCCCTTCCTCAGAAGGACTGGGGCTTCCCAGAAGCCATCCAGCCTTCCGAGAAGTCTTCTGCGTCCTCGAGGAAGGACTATAGAAGTCCTCCTGGGAAGGCCGGAAGACTTCCGAGCCTCCTGAGAAGGCCCGCCTCGACTCGCTTCCCCCCGGGCTGGCCGCCAGCCTCAGGCACTTGTACACGCTTTGCAGGGTGCGCGACGTCTGCGTCGTGCTGAGGCGCATGGTGCAGGGCGCGGGCGATACATGTATAGAACGGACTTCGAATGCATTCACGAATCAAGTCTTGAACCAATTGGAAACAAATTACAAAAGCATTTTTCACTGAGTGCAGAAAGGCGTCCTGTACGGAGCGCGACGTGTGTCGTGCGGGGCCGGGGCAAGGATCAATCCGTTCCAGAGCGTTCTGGACCGCTCTCAGAGCCTTCCAGGGCGCTCTGAGGAGATCGCGTCGCCGGACATCTCTTCCAGAGCCGCGGGATCTCAGAGATTCTCGATCCATCCTCGCTCGACTCTGCCCTCGCCCTGGCTTGGTCTCGGTGTGCGCCGCGCGTAGGCGCCTGGCGCCGGGCGCGGGCGCTGGCGGCGCGGGCGGCGCAGCCCTGCAGCACTCCGAGGGCCTGCTGCAGGTCGTGTTCTACCTGCTGCTTGCGTTCGGGTCCCGGGTCGAGCGCGGCGAGGAGGAGCGGGCGTTGCGCCATGGGGGGGGGCGATGAGCCCAGATCCCCTAGGGCTCTGGAAAAAAAGCAACGCCAGGTTTTGCTGTTTTGCCACTTTCGGCCTCCGGGGGGCCCTCGCCAGGCCTCGGGACCGTCAGAACACGACTCGGGACGAGAAGCCGGTCCCGGGGAAAGGGTCGAGACCTCTGGGGGCCGACGCTGTGAAGAACTCGTAGCGTCGGGGGTCCGGGAGTGGGGGGGGGAGGGGGGTGCACCTGCAGTTGTCCTGAAGGGGCTCGAGAGGGGCCCAGGAGGGGCCCGAAGGGCGCACGTTTCTCCCCCCCCCCCTCTCTTTCGTCGCCCCCCCATGGGGCAGCGCCCGAGAGGAGCAGGAGGTGGCGGAGGAGGAGGACCCGCCGAAGAGCAAGCGCGGGCCTTCCGCGCGAACTTCTTGGACCTGCGCTGGGCCCCCCCCTCTAGCAGCGCCTCCCGCGCCGCCCCGAGCGCCGCGGGGGGGGGGGCGTCCAGCGCAGATCAACGAAATCCGCGCTGCCCGTTCGACAGATCATGTATCTTTCGCGTATGCATGCGTATAACGACAAGCAAGAAAACAGTACATAGATGTATACTTGTTTGCTTGTTCTCCCTTTGAGGACGAGGCCCGCGCGGTGGCCTTGCTCTGCGCCTTGGCCTTCTCGCCCTCCAGCCACTACCGCGCCTACTTCGTCAGCCCGCCGCAGCCTGGCGCGGGCGGCCCCGAGGCAGACGCCGCAGCAGCCGACGTGGCGCGCCTGGACGCGGTGCTGGCGGCGAGGGAGCAGCAGCATCGTTTAACCGACCCCTATCGCAACCCCCATCCCTATCCCAAGCCTGGCGACCTCAGCACCACACTCGAAATCCGAAGGAAACAGCCTGTATCCCCATCTAGGGTGGCAAACGGCCAGTGGGGCCCAGACCACGCTCATGGGGACAGGGGGTCGTTAAACGTTGCTCAGGAGCCGCAGCTGTGGTTGCACCTGGCCGCACTGGGCTTCCACCTCTCCAGCGTGTTCTACGGCCTCTTCCTGCGCCTCTTCGCATCCGCGCTGCCCACGACCACGCTCTTCCGCTTCTGGGACATCTCGAGGAGCAGAGATCTGCACAAGCAGAAACTTTCGGAGATCCGCGCAGGCTCCTTGGATTTGCGCCGGACCCCCGCCCCTGGCGCGCGGAGCGCGCCAGGAGCGCCGCCCTGGGCGCCGCCAGGGGGGCCCAGCGCAGATCCAGGAGATCCGCGCGGAGCTCCGCGAGCTTGTGTGCATGCCGCCCTGCGCTCCTCTGGCGTCCTCTTCTCCGCCGCTGCGCGTCCGCAGGCGCAGCCAGGGGAGCCTCCGCCGCGGCACTGTCTGATAGACCTCGCGCTGGGCGCCCTGCACGCCAGCAGAGGGAGCCTGTTGCGCTGCTCCTCCGCCTCCGAGGCGCGCGACTGCATCACGGGCTACCTTGCCTCCCTGCTCGACCCCGCCGACATGGTGGCGCTCATCGCGGACGCGGAGCGCGACGTCTGGGCAGGGCCGCTCGGGGTGGTCTCGCCGCCCGTGCACGCGATGACCTTCGACAGGACGCGGCTCTTGTGGGCCCAATACTTCAGGCAGTTCGAGAAGCAGGACGCTGCCGTGCGCGGCTTCCTCGCCAGCCTGAAGTCGCTTGCCACCTCGGGCAGCTCGTCGCCGAGCCAGGGGGCTGCCCAGGGCACGCCCGGGCAGCAGCCGGCCGTCGCGGCCACGATCCTCGGATTCCTCCGCGAGCTGCACCAGAGGTGCTAAAACGACGCGAAGATCGGGACAAAATCGGATCGGGATAGCTCGAAATCTCTGAGAATCGTCGGGCTTGGAGGATGTGCTGGGCGCCGCGGCCGCTCCAGAGCGTTCCGGAACGCTCTGAGAGCGCTCCGGAACGCTCTGGAGCGATGTATCCCGATCCTGGCCCTGTTCCAGGTGCCTGGAGCAGCAGGGGCCGGCGGCCCACGCGGGCATGCTGCGCCGCACGCCCGAGAAGCTCTGCGAGGAGCTCGGCCCCAGGGAGGGCCCGGGCCTCGTGGGGCAGGCCTGGAGCCTGGCCGCCCGGGCCGCCGAGGAGTACTTCCGCACCGCGCAGGGCCAGCAGGAGCACCTGCGGCGGTGCACCTCGACGCCAGACTGGGTGCGGACTCCGCCCCGGTGCCGCGGCGAGCCCCAGGCGTTGACCCGCGCGGTCTGGGAGGAGTGCATGAGGCAGGCCGTGCAGAAGCACAAGGGGGCGTTCGACGGCGGGGTCGTGCTCGCGCTGTTCGAGGCGTTCCATCACCCGAGGGATTTGGAGATCAGCCTGAACGAGGTGTGCGCCGCAGTGGTGTGCGCCTCCTCCGCCACGGTGGCCGAGAAGGCGGAGGCCCTCTTCGGGCTCTACGGCACCGCGCAGTCTGTGAACGACATGTTCCACGTCGTCCCGATGTCCGTCAGCTCCGCTGCTGTCATCGAGGGGCTCGAGGGCAACAGGAGGCTGGCCGCCGTGGATACCGATGCCAGGCAGCAGTTCCCGGCGCCGGCGAATGACGACGACATCGCGGGCATTCGAGGAACAAAAATCAGTAACTACAAACATGAGTTCTCGGAGCTCCGCGCGAGTTTTCTACATCGGCAGGTGGGCCTCCCTGGCGGCGCCTCCAGCGCCGCTCCTGGCGCGCTGTTCGCACGCCAGGGAGGGGGGCCCAGGGCGGACCCGAGAACTCTGCGCGGAGCTCCGAGAGCTTATGTGTGTGTGCCGTTTTTTACGCTTCGAGGCATGGCGCTCCACTTCCGGCTCTACGGCTCCAACCGCAGGTCGGGCGTTGCGGCAGATGGGGGAGTGAAGAAAGGTGCACCATTCGTGCCCGAAAGTGGCGCCAGAGGGGCCTTCGAGGGGCCCCCATGGGGCCCCCAAAGGCCACGTAATGACGTTTGTTTGTTGGTGCTGTTGTTGTTGATGATGATGATGATGATGATGATGATGATGATGATGATGATGATGATGATGATGGTGATGGTGATGGTGATGGTGATGATGATGATGATGCTGATGATGATGATGATGATGATGATGCTGACGATGAAGATGATGGTGATGATAATGATGATGATGATGATGATGATGATGATGATGATGATGAAGATGATGATGCCGCTGCTGCTGCTGATGATGATGACGAGGAGGAATTGGAGGAGGAGGAGGAGAGGGATGCTTTGATGCTGATGCTGCTGATGATGCTGCTGCTGATGATGACGACGATGACGATGACGATGGCGGTGACGACGATGATGACGATGACGACGATGATGATTATGAGGAGGAGGAGGAGGAGGAGGAGGAGGAGGAGGATGGTGAGGGTGATGATGTTGGTGACGATGGTGGTGATGACGATGGTGATGACGATGATAATGATGCTGATGATGATGCTTATGACGATGATGACGATGACAATTATGATGACGATGGTGATGATGATGCTGATGATGCTGCTGCTGATGCTGACGATGTTGATGATGCTGATAATGCTGACCATGAAAAAGAAGGATAATGAAAGAGAGGAGGAGAAGGAGGAGGAGGAGTAGGAGGAGGAGGAGGAGGAGGACCGTGCACGTTTTTGCCGCCACCCCGTTGATTCCCCCCGTGAAGCAGCGCCAGAGCAGGGGCCGGGACACCGATTCCCTGCTGGGGCACGTCTTCGTGCCCTCCCTGCACGACTTCTCCTGGAGCGGCGTCGGCATCGACCGGCCCAGGACCGCCCCTCCCCCTTAGCAAAAGGCGCCGTCTCCTCCCGTCACCGCCGAGCCTTGCCAGTCGACGACGGCGGTCACGACGACGACGACGACGAAGACGACGACGACGACGACGACGACGACGACGACGACGACGACGACGACGACGACGACGACAACCACGAGGAGGGGGGCCTGCCACTGGAGTCGTTGGGCTCGTCCTCGTGCGCCTCCTGCTCCTTCCCTCCTCCTCCTCCTTCTCCTCATCTTCCTCCTCCTCTTCCTCCTGGATAAGAAATCACGACATGAACGCAAACTTTCGAATCTCCGTGCAGATTTTTCGGATCGGCGCTGGACCCCCCTCCCTTCGGCCTCTGGGGGCCCTCGCCGCTCGGGGACCGTCCAAAAACGACTCGGGATGAAAAACTGGCCCAAGCACCGGGACCTTGCCCGAGACGTGGCCAACCCCCTCCACACGCGGGGCGATTCTGAAAAGGAGTGTTCTTGACAAGCGCATGGAGAGATATGCAGCACTCTTGCGCACGAGGACACCGACGTCACTGCAGTTGTCAGCCTCGCTGGGGGCCGCGAGGTCTCCTCTGTGTGCGCGTACCCTCCGACTCCGCTGGACCTCCCAGGAGCCCACGGAAGTGGCGACAGTTGCGCTGTTCGCAGCCACCCAGGGAGCGGCGAGGTCTCGTCAGGGCGGGCGTGGCCCCCGACTCCGCTGGACCTCCCTGGAGCCTTGCGTGCGAGCCGTGGACAGGCACGGCCCGTCTCTATAGGATTAGTATGTGGTAGCGGCGGGCGTAGAGAGATACGCGTTTTCTGCGGTGCGGGGGCTTGCGCCTTTCATGTCTGCATCGATTCGTCGAAACTCGTGTCTGGCATCTGACGCAATGTGCGTTGCGCGCACGGGCAAATCACCAGTATATGATGCGAGGCGTCAGTTGCGGCCGCGTGTCTGCGGAGGGAGATTCACTGGCTCACGAAGCTGAGTCTGCCCATGCACGGGTCCATTGGTATGCACGAGGCCAGCACTTGCATTGAATTTGAATCACCTGGAGCGCGGCCAGGTTCGCCTGAAGCTTCCGAACTCTCGGACTCCACAGGGGGGACGATGGAGTTCCTGCCAGGTGTCCGCGGGCGTTGGGCGCGCGGCGTCCGACTGCTGCGCGGCCCTCTTCGCAGGGCTGCAATCGCAGCGAGTGTCGCTCACTTCTGTTCAGTGGCGGCCGTGGCATCATAACTTGGTTGAGCTGCAGAATCACACTGGAAACAAGATGATACCTCAGTTTGAGACATCATACTTCTCAGAAGCGCTCCCCTTTGCATTTCCGCACGTGTGCGGCGGGCCTGGCTTCTGCCGCTCGCCGGATGCTCCGGTGGTCAGCGTTCAGGAGCTCCTTGTCAGAATGGCGCGGCGCGTGAGGTCGCAAATGCGGAACGATTGGACAGCGGTTCCCGCGATGCGGCACGGGGCCTTCGTCTGAAGGTCCGAACGCACGATGAGCACGCTGAGTGTTTACGAACATGCAACAGACTCGGCTCTCAAGGCGGATGCTTCCGAGAAGTGCGCGGCGTTGCAGAAGCTCTACGGTTTTTTCACCACGGCGGGGCCAGGGCAGGACATGCGGGCGTGGGAAGCATATCAGCGCCTCGCGCGAGCCAGCCCAGGAACGTCCCTCAGGCCCTGGGCTTTCCACGGATCGCAGGACTTCTTTTGGCGAACAGCTGGCGGGGGGAATGGGGCCACTGGAAGCGTTGCCATTGAAACGAAGAGAGGCGATGTTCCCCGGGTGCCCCCTGGACCAGTCCAGGGAACAAGTGGTATCGTCGTTTGGCGCATGCGATGGATCAGGGAGACATGCGAACTCGAACGATGCGTTCCCCGAAATGTTTCGGGACTGGTTCGGGGGCGCCGCCGTCGTAAGTGACGACCTCTGGAGAAGGATCGGGCGACGGCGTTCCCCGAATGCCTTCTGGAACAGCGCGGGGAACAGAGTCGTCCGAGGATTTGTTCCTTCTTTGTTCTAAGTCCTTGAGGAGTCACCCGCGGGCCGATCGCCGGCGACGTCGCGATGCCCCCGCGCGTTTGGCCCCTCAGAACGCGGGCGGAAGCTCGCCAGAGATTTCGAGCATCGTGGCGGGAAGTTGCCAGGGGCCCAGCAGTTGCGACGCTTCGTGGGCCACTGCCAGCTCGGGGCGCGGGCGCAGTGCTGCAACTGCTTCTGCCGGGTGGTTTAGCCTGACGAATGGCATTCTGACTTTGCGCTTCGCACCAGCAGGTGCAGGCGGGAGGGTGCATCTGTCAGGCGTGGGATGCGCTGGAAGCACAAGATGGCGACCTCCGAATACCCCTGCTCGGAGCTGGACGTCGGGGGTAGAACTGCCCGAGTGCGTCCGGCTGCGCGCGGCGGCCGCGCAGGATCCGCGCGCCGCGGTTGAGGGGTGCGCTGTTGTGATCCAAGTTCCGCCTCGCGATGCCACTCGGAGCGCGCGCGCGCGCCCGGACTGCCCG